TCAATATCGCTCATTGGGTGGTACTCCCAAATACAGAGTTTCCACGAAGAGAAACAGCCAAGTGCTGATTTACAAAGCTGATTTATTCTAAATTGTTTGGCGGCAGCAAAAACTTCTTTCCCAGGCTCCTTTTTACCTTCGTTAAACTTGGTATTTAATTTTTACCAACGAATTTTCACTACCTAGTCTTGTTTAAACGAGGTTAAGCACCAAAATTTGGAGAGTTACATGTTGTCAGCAGGAAGGAAAGACGCCCTATTCTCTCCCCTCCCAAAGACAAACATATCTTAGTTCTCTCGTTCTTATGGAACTTCTCAGCAAGGAACTTAAAATCAATGACGGCTGAAGGATTAAAAACATTCCCCCTTGAAAATTCCTATTTTCGCGTACAATGATTGAAAGAACAAAACAGTCGACACATAAATAAAAATGACTCCAGAACTTCTACAGGATGTTGGAAACTCCTAGACTGCACTGTAATCGCAGTATTTTTAGGGCCCAGAAAGCGATCCGGGAATTAACCAACGAGCCATAATGCAGCTTTTTGAAGCTGCAGATGGACGAAATAAAGATATAGAATATGAGATCAACGTTTCCATGATGGAAATCTATAACGAGAAGATCAAGTAAGGCATCTGAAAGCAAATTTGGATGTGCAGAAGCAATATGGGGGACCCCTTTTAAGAGATCTCCTTGGAACGTCAAGTTCGCCACTGGCGATCAGATTGGGCGAAGATGGTCATCTGTCAATTCCCGGTCTACGAGAAGTTCGCGTCACTTCAGTTGATCACGTTATAGAGGTGCTGCGAGAGGGAAGGAAAAACAAGGTAGCAACCATCAGTTTGAGACTTCTCAACTAAACACAAATTTAAAAATTCAGGCGGTGGCATCCACAGAAGCTAATGCTTGCTCGAGCAGATCTCATGTAATCGTTCGTGTTATTGTTTCAGCCAAAAACATAATCACCGGCACAACGTCAATCGGTAAACCACGTTCTAATTTCTTTTTATTCTCAATTCTCATACCCTCTCATAAGGCCGTTTGAACCTCGTGGATCTGGCTGGATCTGAACGAGTATCTCAAACCAATGCCACAGGACAACTCCTCAGAGAGGCACAAGCAATTAATAAGTAACTTTTTAAGCTTTACATCTCTTCAACTTCTTAGGGTCAAAGTTAAATGTATCTTTTCTAGGTCTCTCTCTGAACTCGGTAATGTTGTCTTTGCCCTACGACAAAATCAGAAACATATCCCATTCCGAAACTGCCAACTCACACGTATCTTAGAAGATAGTCTAAGTGAGTTTACTACTATTCTTCAAAAACAGCATCGTCGCTGCCACCGCTAAAAAAATAAACGTTTGAGAAGTGAGTCATATAATTGGCTTCAGCACTCATTGCCTGTCCTACCAGCCAATTTTTTAAATTAACAAAAATCCGGATTTTTTACCTTTCTCATGCCTCTCTCAGAAGCCGGATAATCTCTCCTAATTGTATTCTTAGGTAAAATTTGATTATACTCATCATCTAATCTTATCAATCGGATATATTTAAGAACAATTCTAATATGTGTCATTATTATCGTGTATCAATAACATGGTGCACGTGAAATAGTTCCACAGTGAGAAGTCTCCATAAATTTCGTCCCACTTTAATCACCCAACATTACTCATGAGCAAAGGGTGCATTTTATAATCCATCAATTTTTCGCTGCACTCACACTAAGAACTTTTTTCTGAAACTGAAAAATTTTTGTTTTTCGAAAAAACATAAACTCGATGAATCATCGTTGGAATCTTGATAACCCAGAAAATTTTTAAAACATCTTTTAGATGGTGACAGCAAGACACTGGTGATTGTGCATCTGTCACCAGACGCCGCTCACAGTAATGAAAGTGCCAGCAGTATAAGTTTTGCTGAAAAGATCGGTCATGTGCAGACTAAGCTACGAAGAGACACTGCCATTAGAAGAAGTGGAACGAGTGGAAGGTGAGAATTACAACTTTGAAAAGGCTATTCAAAGAAAGATATTGCAGGAGATCTGCCTTAGACAAGCCTGCATCACCG